AAAAGAAAGATATTTTCATATTAAGTACTTTTCTTCTACAAAAACTTTAGTTATTTTTTTATTGTTTCGTTAAAATATCAAAAATACCAAAAATATTTTAATTTTAAATTCCTACAAAAATCATTTTTAGTTTAAGTAATTATCTTTTTAAAATAGAAAAACTTTCTAAAAAGTACATATTGCATAATCTTCCTTATGGTTTTGATATTCAGGCCTTAATAAAAAAGTCTTATATTATTTGATAACAATACGTATAATTGCGTAGTATCCTAATATAAATATATAAATTAAAAAGTTAAATTCTTGTTTTTCTTCACAATCAAGTTTTTGGTTTTGTTGCAAAATAAAAAAAATATAAGTAAAAAATACCATCAGAACCATTGTTATACTGTGCATAAACATTAAGTATCCAAGGATCAATACTCATTCATCTTCTAATTGAAGAAGGTTATGGGGTTGCCTCCTTGGCTCAAGACTGCTCTATCCCCACATTGGCTGCATCACACTTTGTCTCAAATGGTTGACTGAAATCTGGTAATGTTGAGTCACCTTCTCATTCAAGGTGTCAAAGATAATCTGAGCTGCAATGGTCCACTGAAGTTTCTCTCCTTTCAAAGGCTTTGTCAGGGGGTGGTGATGATCTGAAGCTCTTGATGAATTACTTGTAGAATGATGGTATCCCTAGAAACAGTATCAGCTCGACGAAAGACTACGATGTGGTTTAGTTCACAATGGCCCGTTATCTTTGTGGGATCCATTTAAATGACTGCACTAGATATGATATAACAAAAAAAAACATACCTTTATTATCAGAAAGTTGCACTTCCTTGGATGTGTGCATAGCTTCTCTGATTATGGAAGCTCAAGGACCGTTCTCAGGTGTTGTAAGTTCTCCTCCTCAAATCTGTTATATACCCAAAAGTTGTCGAAATACACCACCACAAATTTCCTAATGTGAGTCTGAAATACCTCATTCATCAGCCTCATGAACGTGGGCATATTAGGCAATCCAAAAGGCATGACTGCACACTCATATAATCCATCTCGGGTTTTGAAAGTGGGCTTCCACTTGTCACCTGGCCTCATTTAGATCTGGTGATACCTGTTGTGTAAGTCAATTTTAGAAAAGACAATGGCCGAGTACAACTGATCCAAGAGATTGTTCAGGGAGTTATGGGGAACCAATACTTGATAATAATCTTGTTAATGACCCTATTATCAATACACATCCTCCATGATCCCTCTTTCTTAGGTACCATCTGGGCGAGGATAGCACACAGGCTAGTACTCTCTTTAACCAACCCTCTCGTGACAAGATCTTGTATCTGTCACTGCTACTTCTCATACTCTACATATCTCAATTTATAGGCAGACCAATTTGGCAACACTGATCCGACCATGAGATCTATGGTGTGTTGAATGTTCCTTAGTGGCAACAATCCCTCTAGAAGATTTTCAGTCATCACGTCCTAGAAGTCACAAAGCATTGGTTGTATAAGTGCAAGTATCTCAATCTCTTCTTCAATTCCCTCTAGTATGAACATTGTCACTGCCACTGGAGTATTCTGAACAGTCTTCATTAAGGTGGTTCTCGGGGCCACCGCCTCCTCTATATTGTCTATGCCTCTCGCATTTTGATAGGTACTAGCTCAATTTGCTTTTCATCATTCTTAAATGAATAAGTATTCTTGAAGCCATCATATTGGGTCTTAGGGTCAAACTGTTATGGCCTCCCCAACGAAATATTACATGCATCCATAGGGACCATGTCACACCATACTTGCTTTTGTAACTGATCCCCAATAAAAAAATCAACCAAGCATTGTTGATCCATGCTATCTCATTCCCCCTTTTGAACCAGGTAAGGGAGTTGAATTGAAGATGCCTCTGTGTTGCCAACCTTAGTTTCTTCACTATCAACGTGAATACTACATTCTCATAACTCCCACCATCAATAATCAAAATGCAAACTTTCCCCTTCACCGTGCACTTAGTGTGAAAATTACTGTAATCGTATGACTAGCATCTCTCCCTCATCCCCCTGGTGCTAAAGTTTCTCCTCAAGATTCTCCTCTGCTTCCTCTTCCTCCACTTCCTCGACGACACCCTACGCCAAGAATGAAACAACTCGACTCGTGGGACAGGAGGAGGCTATGTGTTCATAGTCATGGCATACGAACATCTTCTGATAGGCACTAAACTGGGTGAGGTACTCTTTGTCGGCTTCTTCTCTCTCAAATCAGTCTTAAAACTTCCTTGTTCTGCCTTTCCAACTCATCCAGAGGTATCCTTGTTGGTAGCTGCAGTCGTTGGTGATTGTCAGAACGAGGATTGTTGTCTGAATGAGGACTGTTGTTTGCTCTGTTTCTGTTATCTTTCCACCTTCAAAGCTATGTCCTGAACGTCTCTCAATAACCAATAGGGTTGCAGCTGTACCACGTTGCTTATAGCAAGCTTCAGGCCCCCCCACATAACGGGCAATGATATGTTCCTCGTACTCGAACAACTCACACTTCATCTGTAGCTAGTCAAATTGTGTCATGAACTCCTCTACCGATAGGTCACTCTACTACAGATGGTGGAGTTTCAAAAAATATCCTTGTAGTAATGAGGTGCTAGATATTTTCTCTGCATCTACATTTTCATCTTCTCTCACTCGGTAATCTTGTCACTTCTCCTCTATTTTTCTTTTTCTACAATTTTTCCCACCAAAAGAAAGCGTTCTTTTTCAACTTAATAGTTGCAAGCTTCACCTTTTTCCTATGGCATTTTTTTTATACTCCAGAATTCTCTTAACTGATTGTAGCCATTTGATGAAATTGTTGGGATCCATAACTCCATCGAACTCCAATAGGTCTACTTTGAAGTTAAATTTCTCGTGTCCTCCATATTTAGCCTCCTCTCTCGGCCTTCTTTGATACTGAATTTCGAAGCGTTAGGGCCCGTCTTTCCCATGACTAACATCTTCATATGGAACAGATTCATATTCTCATCCTGTTCTCCTCTTCGACTTTCCCAATCAACATGGTTTAAATGCTAAAATGATCGACCGGCTAGTTATGTGGGTGGTTAATGTAGAAATAGAGTTTTTTATTTCATTAATTGGGTTACTGAACTATAAAAAGTTGATCCCAAAGGATCCTTAAATTGGGATCAGTTTTGTATCCCAATTCTACATGAGAGGCCATTTTGGATCAACTTTTTATATTCAGGGATCTAAATTATAAAAATGTGATACTTTGAAACTAAATTGGCCACATACGAATAGTTGGAGGACTATTTTTGAAATTTAATCTAACGTAGATGTTAAATGACTCTATTTTCCGCCATTGGAATCTTGAACCCTGCTAGTTTTCATTTTCCCCACCAATAGCATTGTCATCATTAAAATTTCATTAATTGTGATTGTGTTTTTCCTCAATATTTACTGTTACTTTTGAGTTCGTTAGAACTCATTTAAAACAGCTTCTAACCTTGTAGTTTCTCCTTTTAAGACTTCAGACTTGATTTTGCTTTACTCTTTCCATTAAGATACATCCGCTTCTCTCACTTATTTCTGAGATGTAATATTTTACTTTGAGAATATTTTTCCCTTTCTTATTTGGTGCTGTTATTGTTCTGTTTATTTATTCAATATCTTTTTTTCTTTTTGGCAGGAGAATATTAGGGGAAAGATTTTACAGTTGAAGGAAGAAAAGAATAATGTTATAAAAGAGATAAGTCGTATCAAGCCGGATCTTTTAAAGGTGTTAGTATTCGTTATTGCCATATATTGGCCACTCTTCGTTTTTTTATTTATTATTTTTATTTTTTATTTCCTAAATTATGGTTATTCATGCATGTAGCTGGAAAGTTTCATTACTAACACAAGTGAAGATATTCGTAAACTTGAAAAAAGGATAAACGAAACCTCTGATCGCATTTACGGAAAATTCAGTAAGTTTGTAGTGATCGGAAAATATTACGTCAGGACTCCTAACGTAGAGCTACATTTGAAATGCAGTAGTTAGGAATATCCTGTTGTGTTACTTATCCTGTTGTATTACTAGAATATTTCATCTGCATTATTTGTAAAAAATGAAGTGTTATTTGAGTATTATATGGTGTTATTCGATTATTTTATAGGGTTATTGAAATATTCCCCATATTCCCCCGCGTTACTTGATTTGGGGCTGTGTTATTCAGCATATTCCCCGTGCTATTTCAATTTTCACTATGTTATTGGAATAACACAGTCTCAAATCAAGTAACGTGGGGGAAATATTTCAATAACACTCTGCCCTAAATCATGTAACGCGGGGGAATATTTCAATAACTCCACAAAATAATCAAATAATGCCATATAATACTCGAATAACACTTCAACTTTTACAAATAACACAGTTGAAATATTCTTGTAACACAGTGAGATATTCCTAACAATTATAATCCGAATGTAGCTCTACGTTAGGAGTCATGATGTAATATTTTTCCGTATTGATCTTGTGTTAAAAGACTTGTTTTTTGCTTTACTTTTTATTTTATTTTTTTTTCTTATTTTTTGCAGCACCACTTAGTAGTGATCTTAATGTTAAAGGATTATATTATTCATTTATGCTTATGCTGCTTTATTTATGAGTTTTTTTTTTCTTACAAGGGAAAGTAGGCAAAAGGATATTAATATGGTTTGCTGCATTGCTCTATAATTGCTACAATATTGTATATTTGTGGATTAAGACAAGACTATTTTGGTGAATTGATTAATATTGAAGATTCAAGTTGGCTGTTTATTCGCTAGATGTGTTAATTGTTTTATAAAACTTTTGACATCAACTTATGCCCGGGGTAAGATTGACTTAGGAAAGTTCTCATAGATTTATTTTTTTCTATGTATTTTATGTATATTATGAATTTTTTTTTTTTTTCCATTTGAGGTTAGATTGATGAATTCTGAGCCAAATTTTGTGGGTTAATATTGACTCATGAACATTCTCATAGGTTTATTTTAATTATTAGTGTTGACTTCCTAAATCATCATTTTATTCTATTTAGTTTATATCAAGCATTAACTATATTTTACACGTCTTTATGTGTATACTCAAGCCATTTCATTTTGGGCCTCCACTTTTTAATCCTAATTATTTCATATTAATTATGTCTGCTGCTCATCTTGACTTATTTGTGCTTCTTTTGTCCTTCAGGTCTGTAAGTTCAATTTTAGACCTTACTTGACAATCCAGCATGAAACCAACTCAAAAAAATTGAGTTCGGGTTGACAATATTTTACCATGTAGGTTGGAGTCTAGAATTCTGATTATATATATATACATCTGTAAAAATTGCTTCGGCGGGTAGCTCTGCTAGGGTTTTGTCCGATGGTGATTCTCTGCGTTGAATCCTTCGGCTTCACTCCATCGGCTTCGTCGTGCTCGACGACGAAGGGTTTCACACCTCCAAATTTCTTCTGTTTTCGTTTGTTTTGTTGACGTTACTTTTGGTTACAGGATCGCACATTGTCTTCTTTCCTCTTCCATTTTGAGGCGGTTGCATTGTTGTTGATTATGGTCAAGCCTTTATTGCACGTCGTCTTCCTTCGTCTTCCTCGGGTCGCAGATTAACGCAATCTCTCGTCACCTTGATAAGAGGCGGTTGCGTCATTTGTTGACTCTAAACGTGGTTTTCATGAGGACACTCCCTGCATGTCGAGATGGCCTTGGGGCTGTATTCCTACGCCTCGCCCTTGTCGACGATAACCCCACAGGCGCCCCAATTTTGTTTATGTTCCCGCAGTAATACCACAATACTTTTGCGCTGGGTGTTGACACCGAATTTCTCAAAGAAGCATCCCGTAAAAATGGTAAGCTGTAATATTTCTCCCTGAGACTGAGATCTCCACCTTAGCTTCATTCTGCAGGTTGGTTTTAGTTGGTAAGTTTCTCTATGGAAACCCCAAACTCGAGCTACTTAGCAAAGATTTTGAGCAAATGCGTCTGAATGAGGAATTGAAGATTGGTAAATTGGACGGTAGGCATAATCTTATTCAATTATCAGATGAGAAAGACTACGCCCATTTGTTTGCGAGAAGACTCATTCGAATAGATAATCGTGTGATGAAAGTTTTAAAATGGATGGTCGACTTTGATCCTTTCAGTGAACCTCCTATCATTCTTGTATGGCTGTGTTTCCCGGTTCTGCAGTTTCATCTATTCAATCATGAGCTCCTCTACTTCTTAGCTATGTTCTACGGTAAACCCCTCAAAATTGATATTCTTACAGTTAATCTCAGTCGGCCTTCTGAAGCTAGAGTTATTATTGAACATAGCTAAGAAGTAGAGGAGCTCATGATTGAATAGATGAAACTGCAGAACCAGGAAAAGCAGCCATACAAGAATGA